TATAGTATAAATACATTTCAGTAATAAAAATGAAATGAAACATGTAAGAGTACTTGAACTTCAGGAGCGCACACCTTATTTAGAGAATGGTGCCAGGATGAAACTTCCTTTGAAAACTCGGAGAAAAGTCAAGCATGAAAAAATGTAGCACATCCACTCCCAGGTCATTGTCTATATTAAAAGCTTTTTCAATTGCTTTTTTTGTATATGGCAGTACAAAACAGTGAAGCTCCCATTTCACAAAGCAATGCTTAGGATCATGTCCAGCCATTGTTCAAGCTGAGAGCAAAGCTTGATAGAGCTTGGTGAAGGGCTGAACATGGTCCAAGATCTTGCTAGGTACTGCCATACTTTTGTATTTCAGTATATTAATTTTTTGAATGAAACAAGTAATATGTCAGAAACAAAAGACAGTGAACACTGTAGTGTGGTCAGGGAAGAAAGGCCTACTTGCACTGATGGCCAGTGGAAAAGTGTCCCATTACATGGCGATCAGTGTGGAAGGGCCCTCTTAGACAAATGGTCAGTGTTTGTTGGGAGATGCAAAAATGCTTATTGGTCAAGGAGCCCTTATAGCAACCTACAGAGGAATTTGTTGGTTCCAATGAATTCTGGTTTAGAAGAGTTTTTGTTATGTATCAAGTCTAACCAGATCATTATACTGTAAACTGTTAATCAAAGAGGTTTACAGCATGTATTCTACCTACAGTGTACCTGAGATTGGCAGTATTTCTGTAGATTGTTTTACAGGTATGTTTTATATTTCTTACATGTAATATAATTGTAAGGACCACTATACAAGCATGGTTTATAAGAGTGCACATGGATCCATAGAAGAGATGGGCCGGTGACTTTACAATATACATAAAGTAGAACTATAAGCAAAACTTTTTTTTTTTTTTCATTTTGGATAGAGCAAGGGAGGGTTATAACCCCTGTCAGTTTTTTCACCATTCGTGTCCCATTGCGGAGATTTCCCTTGACTTCCTGTCCCATAGCCAAATAGGATGTGGGAGGAAATCCCTGCAAATTCCTCCAAGCCATCAGAACTAGTGTCCTTATGGGAAGATTTCCCCTCTATTACTTTTCTAGGGACAACCCAAAATTTTAGATTTTCATTTACACTTTCAATGATAATGGTAAACAGGGCAAAGAGAGAGGATGAATCTCCTTAAGTTTAGTTTCACACCTATGCGTTTTGCGGAAACGCACAGCAGTCCATTTAACATGATTTCCTATGGGACATGTTCACATCACCCAGTGCATTTTTTGGAAAGGGTCAGTGACTTTTTTTAAACGCAAAACGTTGCGTTTTTGATTCTATGGACTTCAATGGAGGCACTGCAGAAAAGCATGTAGGGCGTTTTTGAAGCATTTTTGATGCATTTTGTGTTTTAATCTACCTAGCAACAAGAACAAATAAATTAAAAAGCACCAAAAACACGTCAAACTCATGTGCAAAAAAACGCACTGCAAAAAGCACTGCAGAAACAGATCAAACGCAAACTGCATAGGTGTGAACCTAGCCTACTGGGGGCACAGAAAGCAATAAAAACTTACAGTGGTTCTAATCCCTCTCCACTCTGTCCAAAACTGAAAAAGAACAGTTTTGCCTTTAGTTATACTTTAAGATTGGCTTTTTATCTCCCTACTATTTTACAGATCTTCAGCCAAATCCATGAACAGAACAATCAAAGAGCCTGCATCTAAGCCAAATGACCCAAGCCTATTTTCACAATGTTTACTATGGGCACTGCATGCTAGTGGAGATACATTTAGTTACAAATGGGGTTTTCTAAGCAGTACCAACTTCAGCAGCTGATTGCATTCCAGGTAAATGGTGGCATATTTGGAATCAAAATGTATTTTCTCTAATTTTTCATAGGAATACACTTTAAAATATGTCATGTTGCTATTAAAGGTGACTGTAAGAGCACTGAAAGCAGGGATGTTATCTCTCCCCCCAAAATAAATAAAATGGCATCCCACTACTGTATAACAATACTTTGAATTGTTCTTTCATTTTACCCCTGTTGATTGGATGCTGCAGATAGAAGCTGGCTATTTCCTGTGTCAGAGAGAATGTTAGGGATGATGTGGAGGCCCCATCAACGTGAAAACAAACAGATTTGACAGTAATATGGAAAGGATTGCTGTGGCATGAATCACAAAAATATTGCATTCTGGTTTGGCACAAACTCTGCTTTGCATAAATCACTTTTCATATTTCTTTTAAATATTGTAAATTAAAAAAGACACAGGAGGTGGCCTATGACCTGCATTATATTTAGGAGTAACACAATTAATCACTTTATATATCAAGCAAGGTTGAGTGTCAAAGTATGTTGCTGGTACAATTATTTTATCTGGTTTAGCTGTAATTTCAATCACAGAGCACCATGTCAAAAGCATATGTGTTTATTGACGTTAACATCTGTGTCCTTCCTGGGATGGGAATAGGCAGAGAGTAGCCCAGACATCACTGATTCCTGTGCTTGGACACAGTTGTCCACATACCTTGATGAAAAGCCTTTGAAGACAAAGGTGGACTCTTACTGCTCAAGTCCAAGCACCCATGGGTAGGAGGACAGGGAGTGAAGAGACAAAAAGGTTGGTGCAAGTGCCAGTGGATTGTAATGTTACTAGTGTTACTGGAACTTGAGAGTGATGTCGACAAGTGGCTAAAGGTGACGGGAGATGAAGGTCACTTATGAGAAGTCAGAAACCGTGAAGCAAGATGTTACTAATCCAACCTTGAGAGAGTCAGGGACAGGTTGGGTCAGCAACTTGCAGAGAGCGTGATACCAGAGAGAACAGCAGAATCATAGTTGAAGAACGTGCTGGGAGCATTACAACAGATGGGTAGACAGAGAGGAACCACAGATGAGACAGAAAACAAGCCCGTTTGGTAACGGCAGTCGGGATCGGATGCAGAATAGCTGTTCTTGAGAGTACAGTTGAAGGTCTTGGGCTTAAATAGCCCTTTTAGTACTATAAATAGCAATGTGTGTGCATGCTTCCACCATTCTATGAGCAGATCTATACATATTCACATGTGCTTTATCTGTAACCTGGCTATGCATGCTGGCTTGATCTTCCTGACCTCAACAGTCCTAACACCTTGTAATCATGGTGAAAGAAAGCCTATCCTAATGTATTTAAAGTAGATCTAAACCACAACTGGATGATAGTTAGCTTGTTAAAGCACCATTTATCATAACCAATTAATCCTTTTTTGTTTTTAAGTACTGCTTCTCCAAGCTCTTTTAGCCACTTCGTGTCTACATGCGCTCTCTCCAGTGTTGGTTGCTACTCTAGACTGGCTTCCTTATAGTGACAACAGTGAACAAAGCTTGCACAATGTGCGTCGGCATAGCTGCATGTGGTTTCTACCAGGAGTGCATGTGAAACCTGAACTCCTGAAGAACCTAATGGCCGTTTCACCAGGTATTCGTTTAGTGAAAGCTGCTGATCTGCAAAGATTAAAAAGAACTTTAGGAAAAAATGAATTTGTTAAAGAGTATGGAATTTTAAAGGCCAGCTTTAAATCTACATTGGGCAGCCTTCCGATGGGCATTGATTTAAGTTGATGTGTTATTGTTGTTGTAGTAAATATATATATTTCTATTTCCAAGGCAAGGCCTATCCAAATTGGGAGAAACAAATATAGCTTTGATGACATTAGATAAAGGCCTGTCATCATTGCATAAGTATTCAGTGCATATATTGGTGATCTGTATAGATTCTGAGTATGTTCCCTGCCACACACATTGCATAGTCATTAACATCTGAGCTATGTATTTATGTGTGTTGTCCTCACTTCATCAAACATCTCATGTGACTGACACAACCTAATATAGATAGCTATTTAGACACAACAAATGATATTCTGAAGAAGGGGGCAAGGCTGTTTTTCATTGTGACAGCTATTGCTAGAACCAGTCTGCTCACATGTCAAAGTATCTTCTCAGGCATCAAGTGGACATGTACTTTCTTAAAGGGAAATTCTCTAGAAAGAAATGTGGATGCTGCTATTGTCAACCTGTTTTTTAATGATGCAAGATCAAGGGCCAACCTTTATGTTTCTACACTAACTATTAAATGAGTAATCTGGAACCAGTGTGTTGTCACTGAAGCTGGAAATTTCAGTCTACATACTTGCAAATGGGGAAGCATTCATGAGGGTGACAGCTCCAGAACTAGCACATTTAAAGGGACTATCACCTACAAAATAAAAATAAACTTAGGTATAAAGTGCCTATACAGTATCTCACAGAAGTGAGTACACCCATCACATTTTTGTAAATATTTTATCTTTTCATGTGACAACACCGAAAAAATGACACTTTGCTACAATGTAAAGTAGTGAGTGTACAGCTTGTATAACAGTGTAAATTTGCTGTCTCCTCAGAATAACTCAACACACAGCCATTAATGTCTAAACAAAAGTGAGTACACCCCTAAGTGAAAATGTCCAAATTAGGACCAAAGTGTCAATATTTTGTGTGGCCACCATTATTTTCCAGCACTGCCTTAACCGTATTGGGCATGGAGTTCACCAGAGCTTCACAGGTTGTCACTGGAGTCCTCTTCCACTCCTCCATGACGACATCACAGAGCTGATGGATGTTATAGACCTTGCACTTCTTCACCTTCCATTTGAGGATGCCCCACAGATGCTCAATAGCGTTTAGGTCTGGAGACATGCTTGGTCAGTCCATCACCTTTACCTTCAGCTTCTTTAGCAAGGCAGTGGTCGTCTTGGAGGTGTGTTTGGGGTTGTTATCATGTTGTAATATTGCCCTGCGGCCCAGTCTCTGAAGGGGGGGATTCAGGGTCTTCAGTATATCACAGTACATGTTGGCATTTATGGTTCCCTCAATGAACTGTAACTCCCCAGTGCTGGCAGCACTTATGCAGCTTCAGACCATGACACTCCCACCAGCATGCTTGACTGTAGGCAAGACACACTTGTCTTTGTACTCCTCACCTGTTTGCCACCACACACGCTTGACACCATCTGAACCAAATAAGTTGATATTGGTCTCATCAGACCACTGGACTTGGTTCCAGTAAACCATGTCCTTAGTCTGCTTGTCTTCAGCAAATGGTTTGCGGGCTTTCTTGTGCATCATCTTTAGAAGAGTCTTCCTTCTGGGACAAAAGCCATGCAGACCAATTTGATGCAGTGTGCAGCGTTGTGCACTGACAGGCTGACCCCCCACCCCTTCAATTTCTGCAGCAATGCTGGAAGCTCTCATACGTCTATTTCCCAAAGACAACCTCTGGATATGACGCTGAGCATGTACACTCAACATCTTTGGTTGACCATGGCGAGGCCTGTTCTGAGTGGAACCTGTCCTGTTAAACCGCTGTATGTTCTTGGCCACCATACTGAAGCTCAGTTTCAGGGTCTTGGCAATCTTCTTATAGCTTAGGCCATCTTTATGTAGAGCGACAATTCTTTTTTTTTCAGATGCTCAGAGAGTTCATTGTCTTGAGGTGCCATGTTGAATTTCCAGTGACCAGTATGAGAGAGTGAGAGCGATAACACCAAATTTAACACACCTGCTCCCCATTCACACCTGAGACCTTGTAACACTAACAAGTCACATGACACCGGGGAGGGAAATGGCTAATTGGGCCCAATTTGGACATTTTCCCTTAGCAGTGTACTCACTTTTGTTGCCAGCGGTTTAGACATTAATGGTTGTGTGTTGAGTTATTTTGAGGGGACAGCAACTTTACACTGTTATACAAGCTGTACACTCACTACTTGTAGCAAAGTGCCATTTTTCCAGTGTTATCACATGAAAAGATATAATAAAATATTTACAAAAATGTGAGGGGTGTACTCATTTCTGTGAGATACTGTACCTGAGGCAGTTTTTATTGACGTCTCAACTCCTGCCTCCCATACAGTTTAATTGGCAAGAGAGGTAGCCCATTATAAGCGATAAAGCTGCCTGCATTTGCCTATAACATCTGCCAAATCACTTTAAAAACAATTTGGCAATAACTAAGTTTCTACCCAAATGGATTCAATTAAATGCCATGCCTTTTAGAACTCTGAATTCATATCCACTGACTTGCAAAATATTTTTTAGTTATGGCTTGAACTGTGTATTGTCAGTAGAGGTAGCCCATTATAAGCGATATTCAAGCTGCCTGCATTTGCCTATATACATCTGCCAAATCACTTTAAAAACAATTTTTTAAACTTAAGTTTCTAACCCAAATTTTCTCTAATTTTATAGATTCCAATTAAATGCCTTTCTCCTTATCTGTAGAATCGTTCTTTAAAAATATTCAGATGTGACTTGCAAAATATTTCGAACAGTTCCTCATAATCCTCGGAAAACATAGAAAAACTCATGCTTCCCACTCTGGTTGTTAATCAAAGCTGCTGACTGCAGAGTCTCTGAGTTTTTAGAAAGGCCACATAATCTGGGTCTGGATGAGAAATCTATAGAGGGGATAGAATGCCAATTTTTTACTATCATTTAATATTTATGTTTATTTCTCACTTACTATGTATAATGTTGCAGAATTATTTAATTATAATGAATTGTTTAATAAAAAAAAGGATACAAGGATGGCAAAAATGTGGATGGGCTTCACTGTGGGGACCTGCAGAGGCAGAGTGCTCATGCCCTTGGGGTTGCTAGATGTACTCTATATGCCTAAACACAGATATAGTGTTAAGGTGGCATTTTTCCTGAACAGACATTTATTAACACTTGAATACTGTAGTATAGCTCACTCCTTTCCTCAGTTAACCTCGAGGATAACAGATAATTATACACTTCTTCCTTTGTGCATCATTTCTGAGCCGGTGTCATGTAGCGTGCATCCGACTCCACCAGCTCTACAACCTGTCACCTAAATCCCAGTGACAATGATACGCAATTTTAACCCTTTTCCTCCACTCTTATATTTGTATTCCAGGAAGCTCTACACCATTGATGACTTGTGCTTTAGTGTTCCAAGGCCTCACTCTATCTTCCATGACTTCCAGGTTGGGTCCTTAGGATGCCCTTTGCAACAATCAGACCTAAGCTGGGGTACCAATCCCTAGGGAAAGAACTAAGCACACAGGCTCCTTCGCTACCAGGGACCACTGTCATCTATTCCAAGTCACTTCAGGATCCTGACTGGCTAGCTTTTAGAAAGCACACAGACATTTGTAGTGCAGTCACTGGCACCGAACCCCTTGCAGGTTAATGTAACCTCTTGTTTGAACACTGGAAGTGCATCTTCACCTTACACTGGCTTGGCCCCTGATGCCCCCATGCTATGTGATATGCCATGCATGCAACCCTTACATATGTCCATAAATAACTTCAGACCAGGCAGGTACTTCTCCTTACTTGTAAAACTTCTTTCTTTACAGCACATAGTACATTACTTCTTTTCTGCACACGTTTCACACACTCAGCAGTTCCCTCTAATGAGTGATGCTTCCTGGTAGCCCTTGCGCATAAATCATCATACCTCAATAATGTAAAGTACACAAAGTCCTTAGAGTCCATGTCCTGGGAACCCCAACTGGGTTCCCACCAAGGGGAGAACACTTAGGCAAAGTTTAATCACATAGTGAGTGTCTGATTCCCAGACCTGGAGTGACTCTCGACCCAAAACCAAACCCTGGAAGTTGCTTTTCCCTTTTATTTATAGGCTACCAATAGGGGGCAGCACCATGAACACATGAAAAACTGGGCACCACAGTAAACCCTTCTCTATCCCTTAAGGCACCACCAGATACACATACATTGTACAATTTAACAGTGCAGTAAACATGAGGTATTACAGTGCAGCACAGACAAAAACAATATTAGGCACCTACCTACAAACATACATGGAAAATCAGTAAAAATTGGCAAAACACAAAAAGTAATATCAATAATAAAAAGGACCATATAAAAATAAATAGCAAATAGTCAAAATTAGTACTTTTTCATGACAGTTAACCATGACTATTTCAGGCAAGTCTAGCGTGGAAAACAGCTGGATTAAAATGAAAAAAAAAAAATTCTACCTTCTGGATTGAAATGATAGTACAAAATCTTCATGTGAAATGTTGAATTTTATGTAGCAAAATAAATGTAAACAATTGATTTGATACTCCTGACAATAAAAAAAAAGTATAATAAAATAGATGCCATTTGCAAAATAAATATGCATTCAATTTTTTTTTTAGCTTTGGAAGGTTTACATTCTCTTTGGCTTATTTGAATTCACAAAATGAGAGATACAGAATCTTGATCCCGAAATCACAACTGTTCTTTTTTTTGATTTATTGTGGGCCATATTGTCATGAGTATGGTAATATCTTTCTTAGCTATGTCAAAATAAATGTCACTGATGTTTTTACTGGCTTGGGATCATCCCCTCAATTGTAGTACAAAACAGCCAATTGAAAGGCAGCTGTTTTCTTGTGTTGAAAATCCAAGAAACTATTAGTGAAAGGACAATATTTCGTTTCTGCATCATTTAACAGTTTCTTACCCTATTAGCTAGTCAATCACTGGTATGTAAATAACAGTTCAGTAGCTTCTCCTCACCTTTCTTATGCTGGTAATGACAGGTCACATTTTATTCAGGTAAGAAATATCATGGCCTACTTAACAGATATCCATTGCTAATAGCATCTCAAAGTGGGTTAATGGAAAGGCAAATTAACCCCAGTGATGGCCGATTAACTGACAATTAAGATACAGTGATGTTCTAAATGGAAGAATTATAGACAAATTAGACAGACTCATACAGAAAGGATATCAGACGTTATATCAGCACACAAAAGTCAATAAAATAAAATACATTAATTGCAAAAAGCTGCAGAGGACATAATTTATAATAAAACTTTTTTATTAGTTTAAATGATACAAAAGATGTACAATATGGTGTCCCTCTGATTATGCATGGCCATGAATTCCATAATAATGATGTCAGTTTAGCAATAATTCCTCGACCATTAATCTTACAAAATATTCCTAGCCAGGAGATAATCTATTGCATAGTTAATTGCCAACATTTCCAAAAATTTGCAAGAACACCATTTTTGCTGTGTGTCCAGCAAGCCATTGTAAGTGGAGAATGTCCTATCTCCAGTTTAAGAGACCCAAAACTGACAACCAATGTAATGGGGAATACTGTATACACTGACTACCATGTAACAGAGGATTTTACACCAACCACCAATTTTATACTGACCACCAACATGATGAGGAATTTACACTGACCACCTATGTAAGGGGGAGGCCCTAAACTGACCGCCTATGTAAGGGGGGATTTACCCTGACCACTACTGTAAGGGGGATTTTATACTGACCACCAATGTAAGGGTGGGTTTGACACTGATCACCAATCTATGGGGAGATTTTATCCCAACTGGCAATGTACGGGGGATTTCCAAACTGGAAACTAATGTAAAGGGGGTATTTACATTGGCTACTAGTGTAATGAAGGGATTCTACACTCAACTGAACACGAATGAGAAGATGTACACTGACCAACACTGTAATCGGAAAATGTACACCAAATCTTACATAACAGGCATTAACCGCCATTGTAACTGAGACAGTTACACTGCCAGTGATGTAACAAAGGTATTTACAGTGACACCCTCCCATCTTTGTTAATCTATGCATCAGCTTTGCATCCTAAATCCCCCTGGAAATCCCTACTCTGTTACCCTTTGCACCTCCTCACCCTATCCTTGTTGTTCACCTTTGCACTCAGAGTACTCCCCTGCTTACTTCAATACCCCTTCTTTGTTTACTTTGTACCACAACATCCCCTGTTCACCTCTGCATCCCAAACAATAATCCCCTTCCCTCTACTCACCTCTGCTGCAGCCCTCTTCATATTCCATACAGGATCGCCGGCTCAATGCAGCAAGACTTCCAAAGCTCCTGATTAGTTACATCCTCAGGTGAGCAGCTTTTACTATGGATGGGACCTTAGGGGGGCTTAATTAGCATGTGTGGGTGTCAATTTACATGTGAATGACAGATTGATTTACGTATGACCAGCATTCACACCCGGTCCCACTGGATGCGAATTGGCATGCGATTTGCATGTCATGCGACTTGAAAACTGCATACCAAGTCGCACCCTATTGTCCACAATTGCAGCAGTCATATCGGTGCACTTCCGACTTGGTAAGAGCTGCACCTATTTCTAAAGTAGTCCATGCACTACTTTTGGTGCGATTTGCATAGACATCTGTGTCAGATGTCTTGCAAATCGCACGTGAAATCGGTGGGTCATCCAACTTTGAAATCGTGCAACTTTACTGTAAGTTGCACGATTTCAAAGTCAGGTTTGATGTGACTGGGGTATCAATTTACATATTAAAGTTGTTATGATTTGCAAATCAGTGTCTGCTTTACACACATGCATTGTCTGAGCACACTGCATATAGGGC